CGGCGTGGAGCCGAGCGTGGGGCTGCAGCAGCGCTGGGCCCCGGAGTAGAAAGCCCAGGGCGAGGAGGGAAGGCTGGGCCGCGGAGACCCCCGAGGACCCGTTCTCCTTGGGTTCTGGGGGAGCCTCCCCCCTTGTCTTCAGACGCCCCCTCCTCACCCCCCAGCCCCGGCCGCTGACGGGAGGAGGCGGCGGCGGGCGGGGGGCTGAGGGGCGCCGCCATGGCTCTCCCGCGGTGAAGCGCCGGGCCGCGAGCAGACGCGCCGTCTCCGCGGTGATGTCCCCCGGGCGGCAGGCGAAAGCGACTCACTCGAGCCCCGGGGTGAAGGCCTAGCGTATCCAGCTTCCTTCCTCCTCCTCCTCGCCCCTTCGTCCTCCCGTCCCCGCGCCCCCTCCTCCCTCCCTCCCCGCCGCCCCTCCAGCAGCGATGGCAGAGGAACAACAGCAGCCGCCGCCACAGCAGCCCGATGCCCACCAGCAGCGTCCCGCCAGCGCCCCCAACTCGGGGGTGGCCCTGCCAGCCCTTGTGCCCGGGCTGCCAGGGACGGAGGCCAGCGCGCTGCAACACAAGATCAAGAACTCCATCTGGTAAGAGGAGCCTCCATCGCGGGGGTCAGCAGCCCGGGCACGTTTCTGAATGCTGCAGAGGGGCGGGGGCGCGGAGGAGGCGGCTGGTGCATTCGCTGAACGTGGGTTTCCAGAGGCGAGGGCGTATTTATGGGGCCTCGGGGTGTGGGGACTTCGCCTCAGCCCCCGGCCTCCTGAGCCAAAAAAAGCTTCGACTCCCCTCCTCAATTGTGAGAGAGAGAAACGAGTTGGTCGTGTTTTTCACCTAGGGCCAGAGAAATAGGGGTAGAAATGAAGTCATATTGCATGATGGTAGCATGAATTTGGGACTGGGAAATGTGAAATGTGTTTACTCCTTTTTGCAGTCTTAGAGGAAGAAGTGTGTTATGAATGTTCATCAAACAGATATTGTGCGTAAGAATATTAATATGCAGCACAAAACCTAATGTGTCTCTTCCTCTCAGTTGGGTTAGCTGCTGTTTCTGGATGCTTTTGCCTCCTTTATTCTAAGATTAAATTTCCCTTGCAGACACTTTATACTTTGCATTAATTGTGAAGAAAGTTCTTCTTTAGTATGAAAATATTTTACTTGGAAAGGGGGTAGTTTGTAGTATGAAGTGATTTTTTTAATTTATAAAAGGGAAATCCAATAAATGTGTTGCCACTTTGTGCCTTTTTTGGAAGCCGTAGATAAAATATCCTTTGTTATTCCTGTACGTTCTTGTAGGAGAATTTCAAGTGTTTCAGCATTAGATTGAGCACTCTTAAAGACGGTGGCAGTCTTTTAATAATTAAATACACCGAGTTAAGTTCATCTTCTGTTAGAGCCATTGCAAATGTGCTTTGAACATGAACTTGCATGCATTGTTTTGTAGGATTCTTTCTTAACTGACATTTTTTAAAAGTATAGCACGATTTTAAAAATGGAAAGAATATTTACAATTAGGTGTAAGAGTTTTTTTTTTTTGATAGAAGTGGAAAAATAGAATTTAAATGTGGTGTAAACAAAGCTCTGATTTTGAAAATGAAACCCTGCAGGTCCATCATTGACTATGACTTACTAAAATATCAAAACTGCATACTTTATATAACAATTTTAAAAGCAAACGTTTTCTAAAACAACTGGTATTGCATATTTACACACTTAAAAACTGGGACAATTTATAAATACAAAATTAAAGTTTGTTATACAGTAATTTTCATTATTTTCTTGGCATGCATCCATGTTATGATGCTAATATGAAGTAGGTCAATGCAGACGTTAATAGTTTCATACTGCACGGTAATTGGCAGTTATGTATCTTGCTTTCAGTTTTAATTTTAAAATGAAGTTTAAATATTTTATAGGAAAATTTTTTTTGGCTTTGGCAAGTCATGTTGTGACAGCTTGAATAGGTCAAAAACCAAACCCGTTGTCTTGGAGTCGACTCCGGCTCATAGCGACCCTGTGGGTCAGATAAGTACAATTGTTGTTTTTGGTTTTTTTTTGTGTGTGTGTGTGTGTGCGTGTGTAGGGGGGTTTATTCTTCAGATAACTATCCCTCCCCCCCTTCAAGCCGTAATTTAAGAGATGCCTGATTTCCTGCTTACCTTCAAGGTTTCCACAAAACCAGAGTTTTAATTTTTTTTCTATTAACATAATGTAACTTGGTGTCCCTGAAATCATCATTAAATTGAACTAATTATCTTGGATTTTACATCTTTAAGAAAGGCAGATTTTAAAAGTTTAATTAATAATGTGTGTTTTAGTATTATGAGAACAATAGGAAAAAGGAACCTTCATTTATGTTTTTAAAATAAGAGTGAGCTGTGTAGGCAACTGGGTGAAGAATTTGAACAACAATGATAGTGGAGTGCTGTTTTTGGTGAACCATGTGGTTTTCTTATTCTTGCATTGATAATTTATATTTACATTCCCGTTACAATTGAAGTGCGATGAGTTTAACCTAGAAAAACTCCTGAATTGAGTGGACTTCAATTTTTGGCACCTGCTCGGAAACGCTAGTGAATGGACGGCAAACATCTTAATCTCCAAATATGGAATTTCATGTATTTATTTTAAAATCGAACACGACATACTTACTTGCATTTAATTTTCAACACCAGAAATCCTATGTGCAAAAATGATTTCATACTGCATTTAAGATTTGAGAATAAACAATATTAATGGATATATTTAATATATGTCCTCATACCTCCTGCTCCCCAAGACTAGATTTACATTATTCAAGTGACTATTTAAAATACATTGAAACATGAAAACTCCTTTACTGCCACCTTCTTCTAAGAAATAGTGTATTTGTATTAAAGTCATTTTTAGTAGATAAGATTGCAGCTCTGTAAGTACCTCATTTCACAGATTTTAAGGTAATATCTTTTTACCAGATATTTTCACACCTGATAATGTTCAGGGAGGTTATCAGTTTTGTGCTACTTTCTATATCATCCCTTGGTACCACCACTAATAACAATTTTTAATTACATTAGAAAGAAATGTGGCATTTAAAAATTATCAAATGAGTTTTGCATTTAGGTTGATTATAGTTTCTAAATTATTGGACTTGCAGATCACAAACAAGTCTGTACTTGACCTCCTACTCTACAAATATAAATATAGTATGTGATGTAGACCTTTAGCTGGACAATGAGCTATTTATTATCTCAGTTCATAATTAATTTATTCTGTTTGTGAAACTGAAATGGAGTTTGATAAAAGTATGTCCTTTGTAATTTCAAGCATTAAATGTGTCTTTGAAAAAGAAAAGATTTAAAAGTATTCAAAGTTGAAACCATGGTACTTACCGAGATAGGAAACTATATTTCTTATGAGTTGGAATATGATGTATTTTTAAGGTAATTCTAGAAAAGTAAAGATACTGCTAATTTGATAGTGTTGTGCTGCCTGTGTAATCTTTTTTTGAATACCTTCAATTTAAGCCCAGGATAAAAAGTCTGTACCTTTTCTGACCTTTCACATTCCCACTCCATAGACGAAGGTCCAAGTCACTTATACACCTCACTTAGAAGGAGACTTATTTGTAGAGGTGTGTATTAATATTGAATATCCTAGAAGAATGTTATTGGTATTTTCTAAACAATTCTAATATAAACATTTTCATTTAAGAAAAGAAAACTGGAACCCCATGCCTTTTTTCTAAATGAAAACTCATACTGGCAACCTACAGCAAAGCCACAACCTAACCTCTGAACCATTGCAACCTTCCATTTAGGTAACCCCTCTTACATTGCCTAAAAAAAAGAATATCAAAGCAAGTTTTCCGTTCACCTTGTCTCTCAGTATTTTCACAGTAAAAACTTTAAAAAAGATAATTACTAATTTTTGTTTAGACAAAAACGTTAATGTGCTTTTCCTTTTTAAAGCAGTTTTATTTGGAACTCTGGTAGAGTAAATTTGCTGTGCAAAAATGGAAAAAATTCCATTTGTGATCTCTTCTGCCTGTTTGTGATTAGTTATGTTTAAGAATACCTACATGGTGATTAACATATCTGTTAACAAAGGCAATAAACTTATCTAGGCGTTCAGAAGAAACCCTGATGTCTTATTGTAGAAAATATTCTGACTAATACTGTATTTACTTAACAAACAAATTCAGGGATTTTTTAAAAGAATCAGTTGTTATCAATTGCTATTTTTATTTATGTAATTCTTTTAATTCCAGGTAAGACCTATCAGACTTTTCTAGAAAACAGTCCTATAAGATGTGTCATTTTTATACCCACTTCATGGAAAGAGATAAACTGAATGACAGGGAAGCTATCAGAGTCTTCTGATTAATTTTCAGACCATAGAAGTAGTGTTTGGTCTATATAAACCAAGAGGTAGACATTGGAACAGAACAAGGGGATACAGCATGGTTTAAAATTAGGAAAGGTGTGTGTCAGGGTTGTATTCTTTCACCGTGCTTACTCAGTCAGTATGCTGAGCAAGTAATCCTAGAAGCTGGACTATATGAAGAAGAACATGGCATCAGGATTGGAGGAAGACTCTTTAACAACCTGCAGTATGCATATGACAAAACCTTGCTTGCTGAAAGTGAAGAGGACTTGAAGCACTGATTGATGAAGATCAAAGACTACAGCCTTTGGTATGGATTATACTTCAACTTAAAAAAAAAAAACTTCACAAATGGATCAGTAAACAACATTGTGATAAACGGTGAAAAGATTGAAATTGTCAAGGATTTCATTTTACTTGGATCCACAGTCAGTGCTCATGGAAGAAGCAGCAGTCAGAAATTCAAACAACATTGCATTGGGCAAATCTGTTGCGAAAAACCTCTTTAAAGCATTAAAAAGCAAAAATGTCACTTTAAGGAATAAGGTATGCCGGACCTAAGCCATGGTATTTTCAGTTGCCTCATATGCATGCAAAACTGGACATTGAACATGGAAGACTGTAGAATTGATGTCTTTGAATTACGGTGTTGGTGAAGAATATTGAATATACTGTAGACCACCAGAAGAACAAACAAATCTGTCTTGGAAGAAGTACATCCAGAATGCTCCTTAGGAGGGAGGATGACGAGACTTTGACATACTTTGGACATGTTATCAGGAGGGACGAGTGCCTGGAGAGAAGGACACCATTCTTGGTAAAGTAGACGGTCAGCGAAAAAGAGGAAGACCCTCAACGAGATGAGCTGACACAGTGGCTGCAACAGTGGGCTCAAACATAGAAACAATTGTGAGGATGGTTCAGGATTGGGCAGTGTTTCGTTCTATTGTACATAGGGTCGCTGTGAGTTGGAACCAACTCAACAGCACCCAACAACAGCAACAACAACAACAGAAGTAGCGCTAGGCCAGAGTTCCTTTTTTCCCTTCAGTCCTGTAAGGCATGTTGTTGTGTGCTCTGGAGTCAGTACCAACTGATAGTGACCCTTTAAGACAGAGTTGGACTGCCCCATAGGATTTCCAAGGCTGCAATGTTTACGGGAACAGACTGCCACGTCTTTCTCCCTTGGAGCAACTGGTGGATTAGAGCAGTCCACCTTTCAGTT